GTCCCATTTTGTCTTGTATTTTGAGTTTGCAGTCATGATGCATATAAACTTGATTACCATCGTCATCGAATCTGCCCAGAGTTGGAAAACTCTGCTAAGAACTATTGGTCATTGATGTCAGATTTGGAAGGAAAAAGAGACGAAGGATGGGATGGCCTAGTAGCTGCTTTTTAAAAACCTGTTATCAATCCAGTAGCTATGGAGGAAGAGTTCAGTTGGTTCCTCTTAAATGTAGTTCCAACACTGTTGGCTACACAATGAATACACTTCTGTATTCATTTAACTAGGTCTGGGATCAACAATTTGAAAGTAATGTTTTCTCCTACTTTTGCTATTTTTAAAAAAAATATCTGAAGTCATTGTTTATGAAGGGTGCAATATTGAAGTATTTGCAGACTGACCTTTTTTAATTCATCTGCAGTACATGTACAGCGTGGATAGTACCAGTACACTGGAGGGACCATGGAATAAGATTTAGTTCAGTCTTCAATCCCATTCAGTTCTTACCCTACCTGCTGAGACTTCTGACAAGATTACTGTTTAGTGTCTCTTGTATTTGTGGTTTCTGTGATGTGGGCATGTGTTCATGGGATATTAGACAATCAAGATAATTTTATATAGACCACTGAACAGCCATCAGATGGAAAAGTTACCCTGTGATTTGAGGATGGGAATGCTTATGGAGAGGGTCATTTGGTCACTACCAACCTGGATTGAAGTCACTTTTTGTTTTACACTGAATTTGCATTTATTTTTGTAATGAATACATTTGCTTTTAATATTGCATGTAATAATAAGCATAGGTATGCAATTTTGCTAGCTCTTGTTTTGGTTGTTTTAATGTCAGCACTGATTGTTTTAATGGGTGGAGAAGAGAAACCAAACAAGGAATGTAGGTTAGCTTCAATAGTATTTTGCCCCTCCTTCAAATAGTCACCTAGTGTAGCTTTGTTGTTTGTTTAAATTATTACATGACTATTTAACAAGATGAAGCTGAAACTTCCTGCTTCAGCTGATGTCTCAATGAGCTCTTTACCTCTTTATTCAGGAAGCCATAGTGCAATAAGTAAATAGCTGCTTAAAATTTACACAAATGTAGAGTTTTGGGAGAAAAGTTGTTTTTAAAAATGTAATGAAAGGGAAAGAGAGGGAGGTTCACCTTCAGTGAAAAATACCATAACTATTAATGCTAAGATCTGATTTAATATGCCATCCTGTACACTACTTGGGCCTGACAAGGTGATGAATATACATACTTTACAGCAGTTACTCCCATTTTTAAAAAAACAAAGAGGTTATTTGGCTTTGTCTGTATAGCATACATGCTATTCATCTTTTATCTACTAGCCAAAAATGCATATCATTTGATTAACATTCAAGAGACATTGGTGGCTATAAGTTGCAGGATATTTCAGAAGTTCTGACGTGCACTTTAATTTTTTTAAATTTCATAGACAATCTCCTTTATGCTCCTTTCACCCCACCCCAAAGTAGCCCAAGTGACTTGTCGTTACTGAGGCTGAATGTTTGTAACAATTGTCATGAATTCTATGGATGTTTATGTTCCCCTTTTTGGTTTGTTTCTTTTAAACATCTTTTTGACGTCTTGGGGCTTTCCCGTTTGAGTGAGTGGATGTGATGGGAACAGCTGATTACTTTTCACCAAGAACTTAGGACCTGTTTTGTTGAAACCTCGGCTGCATGGGGGATTAACAGGGAGCATAAACGCTCATTCCTGAGGGTAGTAGTTTGAGGTTCTGGAATGGATTCTATGCCTTCTCTAGCTAGGGTGGAAAAAGTCCTAGCTTCAGTAGCAGGTTAAGAGACTCGCTGCTCCCATTCTGCTACTGCTACCTTTGTAGAGGCTTAGGCTATGTCTACACTACAGCTTATGTCTGCATAACTTATGTCACTCGGGGGTGAATAAACCACCCCCTTGAGCAATATAAGTTATGCTGACATAAGCACTCATGAGCTTCTGCCGCGAACATGACTTCTGCTGTTCGCGGAGGTAGTTTTATTATGCCCACGGGAGAGCTGCCACGCTGTATGAGTAGACGTGCCCTGAGACTAGAAAGCAGTAGTAATTCTCTTCCACCCACCCTTCTGTTCTGCTGCTGCAGAGAGGCTGGACTGTCAGTCAGTGAGATGAATCATTATGGGTCAATATTTAAATACTGAAATGCTTTTTAATAGCTTTCATTGCGAAATACAAGCTATTTGGGTTTAAGATAATGCAAAACACGATTTTCAGTGTTTTTAATTTTCAGTTTGTGACATTGCCTTTTTTCACAACCAGACTGATTTTACACGCCCTTTTATAGTGACGAATCATTAGCCCTAGTCATTAAGTTTAAACACATGAGTAGTCCCATCAAAGTCAATGCTCACATGGTTTGAGTTAAGCACATTTTGTTGTTATCTGGAACAGATCCAGAGTGCTCTGTACTTTGCAAGGTCAAGCACTTTTGGAATCAAATGTCATGCTCTTAGTTGTATGTCTTCCTCATGATTAATTTCTTCAGTGCCTTTGTCCTCCTACGAAGTACTGAATTTTTCCATAAGATCTCCATTGCAAATTGTGCATTAATGGAGACTCAGTCTAAATTAAAAAATAAATAAAATTGAGAGCATAGAAAATTAATACAGGCTAATGCCTGGGGAATTGTAATTCAGTAGGCAAAAAGTTTTCAGAGGAAATAAAGCTCAAGCAACTGATACATTATGACCAGAACGGAGTAGCTTCTTCCCTAAGCCATAGCTGCTTCTGTGGTATCACCCAATACCTGCCCCAGCTCAGGCTGAAGTGAATGTTGTTGGTTTAAGCAGAGACTGGAAGTTCTATAATAATAATGACTTTAGGGCAGCTGCTATACATTTTTTTTTTTTGGCCTTGAGAATATTGTTCTGAAGAACTACAGTGTGGCTAACAAAGGTTGTCTGATGTAAGGATGGGACTGGATGGTTCTTACAGTCCAGCTCATTTTACAAATATAATGAAGAATAACCTAACCACCATGGTGCAAATGGTGGAATTAAGCAGATGCCAACCTGTTTCCTTTCTAATAATTATTTAATGTATCCTCATAAAATACCAATAGACACTAGTTCTTTGTGATGTTATAGCCATGTGGGTCCCAGGATATATGAGAGAGAAGGTAGGGTGAGGTAATATCTTTTATTGGACCAACTTCTGTAGCTGGTCCAACAAGAGATATTACCTGACCTGCCTTGTGTCTCTAATATATGGGAGTGTCAGTTCTGTGCATTTTATTTTAATTAAATAGGCCATTCATAACTGATGCAATATGCTTAGAAATATTTTGTCATAACTAAAAACTGTTAGGAGCAGACGAAGGTATAATCTCCCATCACTAGAGTCTAACCTACATTTCCTTACTTAGTCTTTGTTATCTTGTGTTAATCCATAAATTCATATTGTTCATATGAATTTTATGCTTTTGCTGCAGTGGTCTGTTTTGGCTGCAGTGGTCTGTTTTGGCATCACCTTCAGGGTGGGTGGTGGTTTTTGTTTTTTGTTTTTGGGGTTTTTTTTTTGCAGGGGGGGAGGGGTTGTTAAATTTATATTAAGCAGTTGGTTCCAAGCCTCTCAAATTGTTTCTAATATCAAAATCATAAGATAAGAGTGGTTAGGTAGGAAAATAATGAATAGTTTGTCAATTTTAACTGAATATTTTCTCACAGAGCTTCCTGTGAACTTTTGTGGAATGTTTTATGAAGCTCTGGGATTGGTGAATCTTCACTGTGAAGTTGTAGTTTCCATTCCTCTCATTCTCTTTGGAATATGTACATTTTAGAAAATGAGCATCGTATTAAGGAGAAAAATTTTACTTAAAATAAAAGAGCAAATTCATTTAGTTTGTAGTGTAGATAATGCATGGCAATATCCACACTGTGCTAGGTTTCAGAGTAGCAGCCATGTTAGTCTGTATCCGCAAAAAAGAACAGGAGTACTTGTGGCACCTTAGAGACTAACAAATTTATTTGAGCATAAGCTTTCGTGAACTACAGCCCACTTCTTCGGATGCATAGAATGGAACATATAGTAAGGAGATATATATACATACAGAGAACATGAAAAGGTGGGGGTTGTATCACAGGCTGTAGGTGCTCTTCCTAATTTGAAACAGGTAC